TACCAACTTCAAGATTTCTATTTTTCATTGATTCCCCTTCACTGAAAGTAGGAACTCTTCTCCTCTCACTGTCTAAGAAATTCAGATTTTCAATATCATCTTCATCATCCACATCACTATACGAATCAGTGGTCTGTTGAGATAGATTTACGCTATATTTTTTATACCTCTGGACTGACCTCTTTTCCTTGTTCAACATTTGCCTCAGTTTTCTAGCTAGATCTTTCTTACTTGAATGTCTGTCCAGAAAGATATCATTTTCAGAGAAGCCTTCAATGTCAGCAAACTCTTCACTTGGGGGCATCAGAGGGTATATCATCATCACCATCTTCATTGTCAGATTGAACATAATCTTCATCTGAAGAATCATCTCCAAATATTGGTGCATCCTCTTGATTCATTGGTGCATCTTCTTGATTAACTGGCACATCTTCATTCATTGGTGTCTCCTCTTCATTCAGTGTTGCATCATCTTCATTCATTGATGTATCCTCTTGATTCAATGATGCCTCTTCTTCATTCATTGGCGTCTCCTCTTGATTCAGTGTTGCCTCCTCTTCATTCATTGGTGCCTCCAATTGATTCAGTGTTGCCTCCTCTTCATTCATTGGTGTCTCCTCTTGATTAAGTGTTGCCTTCTCTCCATTCATTGGTGTCTCATCTTCATTCACTGTCTCCTCTTCATTCATTGGTGTCTCACTTTCATCCAGTGCCTCTTCTTGATTGAGTGTTGCCTCGTGTTCGTTTATTGGTGTCTCATTTTCATCCAGTGCCTCCTCTTGATTCAGTGTTGCCCCATATTCATCCATTGGTGCATCATCTTCAATGTTTACAGTCTCTACTGTCTCTCTTGTATTCCCTTCACTATACTTAAGCAGGAGAGTTGGTTCTTCATCCACAATCACATTTCCATTCACATTAATTGCAATTAAAGGTTCTCTGTCATTCTCTTCTTTGTACAATGATAGGTGGTCTAAGTCTTCATGTACTGACACTAGGAATTGGATACTAATATCATCTTCAATCATCCTCAATCCCTCATGAAGTGATAGTCCACGATAAACAAAGTAGAACTGAATATTAGTTTTTTTCCCCCACTCATACGATATATCCGGTATAGGTTATCTAGGTTCATGTAGTCTAAGCAAATTCGATCCACTACTTCCATTTTGCCACCTACATAAGCCAGTTTGGGTGTATGGACAAATTTACCATTCAACCAAATAGTTATTGTACACAACTTGTTCATTCTGCATAAAAAAATGGTAAAACAGTCAAACACAATTGTTCAATTAATTATTATTATTTTTTTCCAAGTTCAAAACTTTCACAGTAATCTCACCAACAAAATAATAAAGTGCCCTACTTCTACATACCCCACACCATTTTTTTAAGTTTTCAATTCAAACAAGACAACAAAAAATGGTCATAAAAAACTGATACCAAAAATAATTAAAAAAAAAAACCCTACAAAGCAAAAAATCTTGCTGTAACAGACAAGCAAAGAAAAAAACATATCCCCACTAGTTCTCACAAACTAAAATATTAAATGTAGCATTTCTCAAAAAGTTCCCAACTCACGAATATAATATACAAAACCTTACAAATACAAAAGCATATATACTTTAACATTCCAACAACTCTAGTTACCGAGAAAAAAACGTGGTTTTTTCAAATAACACAAACGAGGCAAAATACTACAAAGCTTAATTCTTGTTTCTCTTCAGTGTGAATTGACTCTGTATCTCACATATGACTTCATGGCGCCTTCAATCGATGAGAGGGGAAGCTATTTCAAGTTTCGATCGACGCAAACAACATTTTTTCACAAGCAGATTCACAATTTTTTCGGGGAATCTTTTTTTAGGGTTTTCAGAGGCAGGTGTAATTTGGGAGCGAGAGAGTAAAATGGGTTTACTGTTGTTTATTTCATTGAGGGGTATAATGGTAGTTTCACACGGGGTCAATGTTTATATTTTCTAATTAGATATTTCACATGGGTAGTTTTTGCAATAAGCTCCTAATAAGTATGTAGGTAACATCACAACATAATTGACCTTGGGAGGTGTGGGGAGAAAATTTTCCAACGGATCTTCGATTTTTTCGTCGCCGTACTTGTCGTGATCTCCGTAGATTGAAAGCAAGGATAAAACCTCCGACGCCTTTCTAACATCAGAAAAATAAATACAGCAGAAGCATCGGAATTCTAAGAGAGTAGTGGCGGCGGCGGCGGTGGAGGCGGAGTTGGAAGGGGAAAGTTTGTGGAAATCAGGAAAATGAGAGAGGGAAAGGAGACGATGAATTTGAATTTGTCTAGTATATATATACGATTTATTTTATGTTTTGGGCTTGGGTTTTTAATCACAAGGCCCATAATTATGTGTATTTCATTTACCTCCCCTGTACTAATGGGAAACATTCACATACCTCCCTTATACTACCAAAATTATCAGTTACCCCCCTGAATTATAACTTGGACCAATTATACCCTTTTGTAAGCTAAATATCTCCCTCTTTGATTTTAATGATATATTTTCTTTTTGTTAATTTCATTTACCTCTCATGTGCTGAAGGTTCTAAATATTGGTTATTGGGTCCGAGGCGGTTAGGGACCGCCACACGATAAATCGGTGCGGCGGTGATTAATCGGAGATATATCGGAAATAAATCGGTTTTTAGATTTAGTGTAATATATTTCTAAATATTATTTTTTAATACTTAAAACGTATAAAAAAAATTAAACTTGATTCTCTCCTCATCGTTTATATAATCTAATCACATAACAAAAGTTTAACATATAGAACTGGATTCTCTCTTCATTGTTCTAAATGTTTTTATTTTTAGGCCATGTTCTTCTTACGGAGTCGGTGAGTTTGGGTTTGATTTAAAGAGATAATGGGTTGGAATTGAAAAAAAAAATAAAGATACACACCCTATTTTCCTTGTAATAAAAAAAAATTAAAAAAAAATATTTTTCCGATATATCGCTCGAAGTTTGACCCGATATATCCGTTTGACCCGCCACAGACCGCCACAAACCGCCTCGGACCGCCTCACCGTCAAAAAACCGATTTTCAAAACCGCCACACAAATATCATAAAGGATTATGCCCGCCACAACATATATTTAGAACACTGCATGTACTAATGGGAAATATTCACTTATCCTCCCTTCTATTACTAAAACTATCACATACCCCCTGAATTATATGTTGTACCAATTATACCCTTCTGTAAGCTAAATATCTCCCTCTTTGATTTCAATAATATTTTTTCCTCAAATTCCATTATCTTACTTACTCCTTTAACTATGGTTGTGTTTCTCAATTTCTATATCTTTTTATTTTCGTTTGATTTTATAATAATAAGAAAAAAAACGTATTTTTTCTCTTAAAACTAAATTGTAACAAGAAACCACAATAAAATACATTTATTTTCTTTATCATTAACTTGAACATATAAACTAATTTTAAATCTCCATCTAATTAAGCTCAAGTGTGGGCATTTTTTTCGTTTTATAATATAACTTATTAAATGTTTCATTATTAGATTTATTTAATTAAATCAATACGCCATGATAAATTTATATATCTAAAGAAATATTTCATTATCTGTTGAATTTGACACAATTACAGTGGACATGCAAAAAGATTCCTAGTTGAGGGAAATAGTTGTAATTACCCAAATATTAGGGTGTTTTCATAATTTATCCAAAATATTTCAACAGAATCAAAAGCAAAAATAAATACAACACCTTGGGAAAATTACAGTTTATGTCCCTAAACTTTACCACTAAAACGATTTATGTCCTCAAACATTTCAATCCACGAAATATGTCCTCAAACTTGCCACTTTTGATCACTTTATGTTCTGTCGTTAACATCGACAGCTAACTTCGACGGAAATAGCAAGCGTGGCTCACGTGACGTCTATGTGGCCGTTAAATGTCGAGCTGTACAACACCCAGTGCCTAGTTGGTCGACGAAACGTGATGTGGAGCGACACGTCATTCTCCTCCCCTATTTCTATTCTAAAATCCCTAATTTTCCATATCTCCAATGAACCCGTAAATCCAATCCCTAAAACCCCATTTCAAATCCTTCAATTGAGGTGAAATTCGAAAATAGCATAATCGTCTGTGAATCCATGGCCATTTTTCGTGGTGTTTTACTAGCAAAATAGCCCAATAAACAAATGCCGAATGTTTCCTCGATTTCACTTCCATCTTCGGGCTGAAATATCATGTCTTCTTCCACTTCGTTGGGGAAGTCGGGGAGTTGGAATCCGTTCTTGGGTATTCTATTTTTGGCGAAAAAAGAATTATATGCAGCTTTGACAGGTGCTGCATGTTTTTTTGTTTCGGAATTGGTTCAGACATTTTGTCGAACACCTTCTGAGCAGGTTCTGAAACTGTTGAGTTGGGTAGAATTTGTGCCATCTTCACCATCCTTGTGCTCGCTTCATCGAGACCACAAAGGGCACAAGCATCAGGCGAAGAATCACACGACCCCAACGTTCTAGAGACAGAGTTGTGAGAAAAATTAAAGCTTCCTCTAAAATATTTTTCAGAACCAGAAGAGGAGTCGCGTTTACCTTCTTCATCTCGATTGCAGGCATGTGTTTGCACGTGAATCTGCTGTTCTTTGAGAAGCGAAAAACTCTTCAAATGTGAGAATGCAGATTGGATTGAAAATTTGGGAATGGGAATGAAACGTGATTTGGGATTTGGGATTTGGGAGAGTGAGTTAGAGAAAATTAGTATATTCTTGTGCCACGTCAACATTTAATATTCAATATATTATTCCACGTCACATTTAACGGCCACATAGACGTCACGTGAGCCACGCGTGCTATTTCCGTTGAAGTTAGCTGCCGACGTTACGGCAGAACATAAGTGATCAAAGTGGCAAGTCGACGACATTTTCGTGGACAAATGTATAGATACATAAATATATCTGTAGTTATATATGATGATCTAAATTTGTATTTTTCCCCAACAACTTAATATTAACTACAAGTTTCATAACACTAACAAAAAGCATCCTATTATTTATAGCACAGACAAACAAGTAGAATTTGCCTCCTACATTTTGATAAATAAATTAAAAAAAAAAAAAAAAAAAAAAAAAAGATTCCGGTGCACCGAACGAGCGTGCTACTGCTCCTTCCAGATCCTTCCGGTAACCCTAAGTTTCAATTCTTTCCTATCTCCACCGGAGAAAAATAGGGCCATGTTACGTTGAATAATAAGCCCATCAAAACTATCACGAACTTTTCGATGGCTATCCCTAATACTTCTCGGGACTCCTTGCCACGTCATCTTCCTCCCATTCCCACCTACCTCGAGGCTGTAGCTGTAGTTTTTGGCCTCGCTATCGTCACCCATGAAACGGAGAAATGCTATGTACACCGACGCCATTCCTAGCTGAAACGCTTCGAAATGGAGGCAGAAATATTGTCCGAAGCAGCTGAAAACCTGAAATGTAATATTGATTTTAGTCGGAATTAGCACTTTCGGAAGAAAAAAAATGATTTTTTTTCGGAAGTGTAGAATTAATTCCAATTCTATTCCAAGAAAATTCTGAAAAATCGGGAATTCGGAATTTGGCATGGAAAAACTTGTTCCAAAAACAGAAATTTTCGAATTGGAATCGACAAAATTCAAAAAATTCCAATTCATAAGAAACTAAAATATAAAATACGTAATTTTAATTTTGATGTTATAAGTGTAATTTTCGAAAACAAAAAGAAAATAGCAATTTTTGGAATTATTTTTGAAAATTAAAATCGGGTCGAAAATCGGAATTTCATTTTCATTTTCATTCCAATTCCAAAAAAAATTGGAATTTTCATAATTCGGAATGAAAAATCCTATTCCAAAATCGAAATTCAGAATCGGCGCAAAATCTGAAACTCCATTTTTGTTACCCCTATATTTTCCCAATAAGAGAGTGGGTTCATTCACTAATGTACGCTACCAATTTTTTGTTAATATATTTATATTCTATATAATCATAAAGTATCGGAAAAAAATTCAACCAACCGTGAGCATCCAAGTGGCATTCTCGACCTCATGAGGGTCCGATTTGACGTAGCGGTGGTTGAAAGTGGTCCCACTATGCATATCAACTTTGTGATCGTCTTTCAAGTGGCTCACAAGAAACGGGATATCACCCACAACCGAGCACTCCGATCCAGCGTAGGGACAGTTATAAGGTCTGTAAGTGCATTGGGACTCGTGTTTGAGCTTGCTGTAATAAGGGTATATTCCGACGCAGCCGAATGTTTGGTATTTGCACGGAAGCTCGAGCGATGCAGCCACTTTCTCCAACGCAAGGCATCGGATATTACCTAGCTCGTGTCTGCATGTAGGGCATCGATTCTGCACCCTCGGTTTGCAACCGGAGCATAACGTGTGACCGTTTGAACACTGCAATAAAAAAAAATGGATAAATAGCAAATCGGCCACTAGGTTATATTGTGAAGCGTACATTTTTACTCAAATCGCCACAAAAACTACAACACCGAGAAATAACAAACGTACTAGTTATCCACGAAATGAAAGCATATAAAGATTCTAATTTGTAGGGCCTGTTTTGTTCACAAGTACTTAAAACGTGACATCGTAAAACGATTGTAGATTCCGTTTTCTTTAGACACGTATTTCTCAAACCCAACTTTTTTTACGTATTCGAAAAACTCGGAACAAGAAACAGAGCAATTCGTGATTTCCTGCATTAGAAGTGGAAAGGGTCGATCAATGTACACATTTTCATAAGGTCAGAAGAAAATCGCGAAAACTATAACATAAACCAATTTTAGATTCACTTTCAAGATACATGCGATAGAACCTCGATAAATTAATAACCTCGTTTAAATAATAATTTCTTACGGACCCAAGTCGGTAAAAACGTACTAAATTATTAGCTCGATAATTTAATATTTCGCTAAATTAGTAGAATTTTGCCAGTCCCGACTGTATTGATATAGAGGTTTAACTATATTTCTCAATCCCCCACGCATTCAATGTACACATTATCGATTTTTTTTTTTATAATTATGAATGTTAATAACCACGAAAAGTTTAAAAGTCGAGTAATTCAAGAATTACAAACATACAATACACAACAACAAATTCTGAAATTCGAGATGCGTGATAGATTTTTTTTACCTGATGAATCGGAGGGTACATAGCATTCAAGCAAACGGGACACTCGAGTAACTCACGAACATTGCTCGAGATCGCCACATTAGGTTTAAGGGCACTTTCGGAAGCTTCGTTTACATTTTCGCCAACATCCAATATATCGTCGTTTTCGGGTGGATCGATTATCTCGGGTTTAATTCTCAAGTCGTTAAAATACGAGTTCCCGTTAGCCATTGGAAGCATTATTACACTGTACCTAAAAAAATCCCCAAATTAAACACAACTGTATAGCAGAAAATATTCAATAATTAAATGGGAAAAAATAAAATTCAATTTTTTTCACCATGGCAACAGCTCCCAGTTATAAGTAATCAGATAAACACAGTGGTAATTTAAAAATCAGATAATTTATGAAAGAATATCACAATCGCCGATCCCCGATTATTCAGAAAACAAATTTTGCAATCTTCAAGAATATGTTTTTACAAAAGAAACCCACCAAAATTAAAATAAAGCCCACAAAAATTAAACAGATAATAAAAACAATACGAGAATAAAATCGAAAAATGGAAAGAAAATATATATATAGAAATTACCTGGAAGCTGAAAGAAAGAAAGAAAGAGGGGAATGGGTTAACCCGGAAGGCAAAGTCAACCGATGAAAATATGAGAGATAATTTGAATATATGTAGAGAGAGAAAGTATGTGAGAGAAGTGAGTATTGAAGAGTTTGGCTTGGTCTGCAACTTATATGTATAGGTGATAGTGAAGCGTCAATTGGAAAATTTATAACCAGGGAAACAAAAAATAAGAATAGAGAGAGAAACCCCAATTCAAATTAAAGCGGCTGTATGAGAGAGAAAGAAGATAGAGAGAGGAGCGTTTAGAGAGAGAGAGAGAGAAAATGAGAGAGGTTGAAACTTGAAACTAGTGGGCCGTGGAATGAAGTATTGATGGTTCTTTTTTTTTTGGGTAAATTACAATCACCCCTGAGGTATAGCCAAATTACAAAAACTCCCCTCTTGTTTGGATAATTACAACCACCCCTCAATTCCTGAAATTTAGTGGAATCTTCGAGATTATATGGAATACTATCATTTTTGTACCCGTTTTGTCCCATTTGAACTCTACATTTTGAAATAAGATGATCATAATATGTGTTTTTAGGCTTGTACATATCAGATTGTGGTGCATCAGAAACTGTATCTTTACACAAAACGAGTACAAACTATAGCATATTCCATGAAATCTAGATGATTATGTTGAATTTGACACCATAAGGGTGGAGGTGTAAGAAAAAATCATAGTTGAGGGGGGCAGATGTAATTATCCAAACAAGATGGGTTGTTTCGTAAATTGACCATACCTCAGGGGTTTTGTAAATTACCCTTTTTTTATATAATCGATGAAATTTCATATATTGTTTGAGATTACAATAGTTAATCTTTTTAAGTCCTATTACTCTAATAAATTACTATTTACTTTATTCGGTAGGGGTGGAAAGAAATTTCGAAGTCCACCGATTTCGATTTGAAAAAATCCGAATTTGGAACCATTTTTTTCATTCCAATTTCCTGAAATTCCGACTTCTGATTTTTCCGATTGTTTTTTGGAACGGAAATGGAATTGTATATAAAATTATTGGAAATTGCAACTTCCGATTTGATTTTAGTTTCGATTAAATCATTTTTCTTTAAGAACACACCTACAGTGGAAACCTCAATAAATTAATAACATGACTTAAATAATAGATTTTCTAGTCCCGACTCACTAAAAACCTACTAACTTATTACTTCAATAATTTAATATTTCACTAAATTAACAGAATTTTGTTAGTCTCGAATGATTAATGTATAAAAGTTTAACTATATTTTGTTTATGCCAAAATTTGATAGTGGGCTGCAAATGTTGCTAACCGAGAATGTTGAGTAAACTTAATTGTTAATTTTCTAATGAATTTATTAAAAATGAAATGTTTTAAAGGATTAAATTTTAGATGAAGCAAAGTAAATTTGAATTCCCTATGCTAGAAATATCATTTGTCTTTATTTGTAAAATTAGGTGTAGTATCTCTTGTTAAACTATTAAAGCATTATTTGAATCTTACTAAACGTTTGATTAGTTCAATTATTTTTTAAGCCAACCTGTAATTATATCTAAAGAAAATAAAAGGGACTCTTATGTTGGTAAAGTGGGAAATATAAATCGGATATACCTTACTCTAATCATAAAATTGAAATATCATCAAATATATTATATAAATTTATCTGGATTAATTTTATATCATATCTGACAAGTTACGTAGCACGTAAACTTCAACTTTTTAAAATTTCTACATTTCGGACATGTTTTGTGTCTTACACTCGAGGACACCTGTCGGATAGACACGGCCACGGGCCGGTTCCGGGCCGGTTCAAACCGGTTCACGGTTCACATTTTCAGGAACCGGAACCGGCCCGTAGTATGGGCGGTTCAGCGGGCCGGGTCGGCCCGCCGGTTCGGGCCGGTTCCGGGCCTATCCGGGCCGGTTCCGGGTCGGCCCGGAAATTTTGAATTTTTTTTTTTTTTTTGAAATATTTTATGAATAAGTAAATTAAAAGAAGTATTTTTAAATAGAAAAGGGAAAAGGAAATAAATGAAAAGACTTGAACTTAATTTTAAATTCAAAATTTTAAAGATTTCGAATTTAAAATGATTTTTTGAAATATTTTATGAATAAGTAAATTAAAAGAAGTACTTTTAAATAGAAAAAAGAAAAGGAAATAAAATTGGGGGGAAAAAAAATTCAAAAAAAAGTAAATAACGGCCGGTTCACCCGGGCCGGTTCGGGCCGGTTCACTAGCCGTTATTTGCTTTTTTTTGAATTTTTTTGAATTTTTTTTTTTTTTTAAATTCGGGTGAACCGCCGGGCCAGCCCAGCGGTTCACGGTTCACCATTTCTCAGAACCGGGCCCGTCCCGGGTAGGACGGGCCGGTTCACGGGTCCGGGCCGGTTTGGGCCGTCAACGGGCCGGTTCGGGCCGGTTCCGGGCCCAAAACCGGCCCGTGGCCGTGTCTACTGTCGGACATCTTATGGGCCATTTGCAATTTTCTACAAATTTAGAAACATATTCGAATTGAAAAGTTTTAAATATTTTTGTTGTTTCCCTAATTATTACACGATCTAATTATCAATTGCCGATTGATAGTTGATAGTAAAATTTATTTTGAATATATTTCTATGAAAATATATAAAAATAATTTATAAATAAATAAAAACTTATATATATGTATATACTATACTTATACATTTACGTGTTTCCCCCAAGTTTTGTATCTTCATTTTTGGG